ATGGGAAGTGAACCGATACTGTTCATATTGGTCCTCTAACAAGTCGTAGGTAAGCGGTAGTGGGCATGTGGTGCGCGCATTAGCGTGCGTAGCCCAACTGGTATATATATAATGTGTACTTAAGTTTAGCTGTAATTAGGGTTTCAAAAATGTCGTATAAAAGATTGGATTAGAGGTCGTATAAAAGATAAAAATTAGGGAAGTTCACCTGTGCATAGGTGTAACACCAGGATCCCCAGTTCTTGGATAAGCGTTTGTCCTGTGAGGGCGATTTTCGGAATTGTTTCCATCCTTTCCTTTTGCTCCCGCTTCTCAAAAAGGAATCGTTTCTGTTTGTTTTGCCCCCAGTGAATCCTTACTCTTAGTTCCTGTCGTTGTCGATTGTCCTATTAGTTCCTGTCGTTTTGTCTGCATCTCTCTCAGGGGTTCTAAGGGCCGAGTCATATTTGCAGATGATCTCCTCTAAGCCGTAGATAAAAACTCCTCTCAATTGCTTATGGGGTGATCGCTAACGATTTTTTAGGCTGTGCATGGACTATCTAGGCGACAAAGTCACCAGTTTTGGCATCTGATCTTCTTTTCTCTCATCGATACCGAAAAGCACTAAAGCACGATGAAACATCAGGAACACAAACTAAAAAGACTTTACAGGTGAGTCAGCCTGGAAATGGTTCAAAGTTTAAACGAAGAGATGACAACTTCAGTGACACACCCTAAACCGGACGACCTTCAGATTTTGATTTTGATTTTCTTCAGAATGTCTCAGAAGAGAATTGCAGCCGAACAAGTTGTGAGCTCGTCAATGAGATGAATCGCGTTCACCTCAATCACCTTCACTCGACGGAATGTGTCAAAAATTTTACAAGAGAACCTTCTTTCTCCTTACTTTCCTGATTCAATTACCGCTGACGCAGTAACCATTATGCTAAGTAACCATTGTGCTGACCATTACTGATCATCTACTGCTTTGTCCATCTTCATCCCTAGTCCATGTATTGAAAATTGACAAACTTAGTGAAATAAGCAAGAGTTCGAGAATGCACTTGATGATGAAGACCTAGTCCAGCTGACTCTGATCCTTTCTCGGTTGATGGGTGGTTGCGAAAATCCACGAAGTTGCGGTGAGTTTTTCATTTTTTAGATTACGCCCTAGGGGTCTTGAATTTCAGTATAGCTGCAGAGGCGTTTGCTCTGATATGCCCAAATTGTTATGATCTTTCCAGGCTCTAAGGAAGGCGACATCGTCGAAACGTCAGCCAACAAAGTTTTATAGCCATCTCCTCCACCCGTTTAGCTAGGTATCTACTGCGAAAGCATACGCTAAGTTCTCCTGAACTCTTCAGTTAGATGGCTATCGTTAGTATTTGATGGTGTATAAAGAAATGTTTGCGAAGTGGTACAAACCGATTGCATTGTTCGGAAAATCCACATTCTTTAATGATATCCTTACTGCTACACCAAAGCGTTGGAGGAATAGCTGAACAGCGGTCGGAAGATACAGATGCCACTCCAAAAATGAGGACAAGGATGAACAACATCTGAAATGAAAACCAGATTATGTTGACAAATGGAAGTTGTCGAGGAATTTTCCTCGGGCGCAATATTTGCTTCGATACTGATATAAGCTGAAAGAAGAATTAGCCTGTAAAAAATGTACGATGAATAGGCTGAGGGAGGCGAAAAACATGTATTTGGGTTGGAAGGAGTTAAAGACCAGTCACCATAGCAATTTTTTTTCGGAACCAAACAGATGAACGACAGTATGGCACATTATGGCGCACTCCAACTGGAGTTCAATGCGGAATTTAAATTGTATTCACAAGAGATCATTTTTGAGGAGAAGTTCCACATGACACAGATTCAAAAGTTCGTCAATTATAGCACTATTCTTCAGCGTTACAGCCATAGGAATAGATGTATCATATAAGGCAGTACGTTGTGCCACATAGTCGGCCTGTTGAATTGTCGATATGCTTCACCGCCCAGCAAATTGGCGATTTTGATAAGTGAATAAACTGGTCGAAGAAAACGGCATTTGGCAAAACCAGAAAACTAATCGCCTTTTCCTATCGCAGTGCTGTGTTCGTAGATTCTCTTACCATTTTTCGTATACTGCTTCCACTCAATTGGTAATTTCTCACTTTTTTCATGCGTGACTTACAGAAATGTTCGACTCGTTTGAATAATCCCTGAAGGTACAGTCTTAAAAATGATGTCTGAGATTCTCTGCTAGGACTAATCTCTGTCCCTTCCCCTCTGTCCCTTTTCGGGAGTGATGGCATAATGTATATATGACGTCCCATGAATAAGCGATGTGATCCGAAGTACCAAATTCCGACGGTCAAACACGGTGGAGGGAGCGTTATGCTGTGGGGATATTTCAGTCTATCCGGCAATGATCCACTCGTTCGTATCCAGGGTAATATGAACTCGGCTCAGTACAAGGACATCTTGGAGAATGTACTGCTCCCGTTCACCAACCAAAACCTGCCGACACGGTAGATTTTTCAACACGATAATGACCCAAAGCATACTTCCCGTCTCGTGGCCGAATTCCTCCAGTCCAAGAAAATCAACGTTACGGAGTGGCCGAATCAGAGCTCAGATCTTAATCCTATAGAGCACCCCTGGGAAGAACTAGCACGTCGTACAAGCCAGGTTCCGGTTGGGAATGTCGACGAAAAATTCAATCTATTGTCTAGAGAGTGGGCTCTGATACCACAGTCTAAAATTGAAGCCCTAATCGATTTAATGCCAAGAAGATGCAAAGCAGCAATTGATTTCCTTGGGTATCCAACGAAGTGTTGATATTTTGTTTGTAAATATATGTTACCATAATCTATTTCCCCTGTTATTGTGAAGTTTCCAAATTTTTGACACGCCCATTTCGCAATAAATCGTGTTTTTTAACTCTAGTCATCTGGTCTCGAAAAACACCTTGCCTATCGTGTTCTTTATTTGCTTTCATACCTATTATGCAAAATTGAGACAGTTACGTAATTCAGTGCCCGCGCTATATCGAAAAATAAAAAGTTCCAAACTTTTGACCGCAACTGTATGTCTTCTCATGAGCTCTTGTTTTACCCCAGATTTTTGATGCATTCATAGAATTACTTGAACAAAGATTTGTCTCCTTGTAAAGAAGAGTAGAGTGGAGGAAAGTGCCGCACTATCACTTGGATGGTTCTGGAATCTAAACCTGTATTTATACTATGGCATGGGCCTATCAATCTTTCCTCCGGGTTTATTTAGTAGTAGAAGTCTACGAGGATAAAATGACTGACTTCCTTCTGAAGACCTTCATATGCGTAGTTAATACTTCATTATGATCCGATTGGAAGTGGATTGCAAGGGTGCATCCAAAAATGGCACTGACGTCCAAAGACTTCAAGAGACCTTATAACCCACTTACATATTGCTCCCAAGATAATGTTTAGGTTTTGGCATAATTGGAGACGGGGTTTTATCTGATAAATAGACTAAATAAACCACCTTTCATTTTGTTTCATTTATTTCTTGACTATAGCATGTCTCGTGTTTCACACATAATTCTATACATTTAACGTCGTTCTCGTCGTTTTTTTGTCACTTTACAGCAATTTTGCGTGAATTTTACGACTGATAATAAATAAACAAATATAGCAGTGTTTTGTTTTTTCTTATCATTTCCTGGTGATAAGCAGATCAGCTCGCTGGACTTCGCGACTGCACTTTCGTTTTCTTTTTTTTGGTTTTTAGCCTTTTTGTCCGAGTTGATAGCATCGTGTAGTGCATTTGGAGCATGGTATGCTGGATACAAAGCGTAGTTGGAAAGTCTCAGAGTGGGCTACCGTATAGCTTAGAAGCCTGGAGATTCACGAGAAATGCAGACTTCGGCTGAAAAATACACGATCCAGAAAGGAGATAATGAGAAAACTGGGCAGTCATTTCATCTCCATATTTCGCCATGTAGCCGTCTATGCGCGAAAGTGAGTCGACGACAAAAAGTTGATAGAGAGATCGATCACTTTGAAGTTCATCCAGAAGAGCACCCCGACGTCTGAACACTACATAATATAGTACACGATGTAGCGCTGGAACAGCTTTCAACCGATTCGCAAGAAATGTCAATCCCTTCAGGAGCGTCAGAGTAGCACTATACTATCGAATGAGATGTTATCAGTTGATTACAAACGAAGCTAGAAAAGTTCAGAGGATTAAAAAAACTCTGAGGATCACAAGTGCGCCAAGATTTGGGTTGAAAAATGAACTGATATGGGAGGAACGCTAAGGAACTGCCGAAGAACCACTATCACCTACAGCACCCCGGGGAATAGGAGAAGAACCTATTCAGGGAAGGGTAAAAAATTTCTGAGAACGACTTAAAGTAATGATTCGAGCTCATCCTAAAAATAAATTTTTCATATTTATTTATATTTAGCTCCAGTGAAAAAGATAGAACTGAATACGGTAAAAGGGCATCGTCAGTTCAGAATACTAGAAATACAAATAAGCATTCATGAGAAATCTTTCCTAGTTAAAAGCAGTGCGATTGAGAAGCCGAAAGATTCATGTTATGAGCAAGGCAGTGAAGAAGCTAACGAGCAAATTTAACAATTATTCTATAAATATTCTTTGAATAAGAAAAAATCGTTTTCGCCAACGGTTTAGCACCCTGGATTTGGTGAATATGAGACCATCAAAAGCCTCTGATTAGATGCACTCCATTGTGGGCGAATCAGTATTGATAGCCATTGTGTTGTGGTGGGCTGATCGTTCGATGGTAGGATTCGGTCGTCGTTGTTACCTGGAAAGGAAATCTCCACTCAAATGATCTTCTGAAAAGAACGAACGAACACTGAATCTTCATAGAAANGAATAAGAAAAAATCGTTTTCGCCAACGGTTTAGCACCCTGGATTTGGTGAGTATGAGACCATCAAAAGCCTCTGAATAGATGCACTTCATTGTAGGCGATTCAATATTGATAGCCGTTATGTTGTGGAGGGCTGATCGTTCGATGGTAGGATTCGGTCGTCGTTGTTACCTGGAAAGGAAATCTCCACTCAAATGATCTTCAGAAAAGAACGAACGAACACTGAATCTTCATAGAAATTTCTTTTTTCTTCTAGAATTTCCTACTTTTTCCTACTTTTAACGTCTAGCACAAAATTTACGCAAAACATCACATAGAGACTTCTTCTGGGAACTTACCTCATATTGTCGATCCTGATTCTTGCGATGACGAGGCATGGTCTCCGTCTGGGGTACATCTTCTTCATAAACTCTAAAACAGAAGGATTTGGCTGGTTATCCTCCTACCGGGCCGATTTCTCGATTTATCTACTTACACATATTCCTCTCTCACGGATGGAGCTTGAACTCTTGGAAGTCGGAACCATGAGAAGAACGGCGATACGCGTTCTTCAACCACAGCCGGCTTCTCTATGACCATATGATAGATTTCTTGGAAGCATAGGACACAATGACACTAAAAGCAAGGAATTATAAGAGAAGATGACGTTTGGCTTAAAATTCCACGAACCAGGAAGAAAGCGATAAGAAAGCCGATTAGCCATCCGACCCAAATGTCTCGCCAGTGATTTTTGTAGCCATTTATGCGTGAGAACGAGTCGACGATGCACAAACCAATGAATCCAAAGATGAGGAATGGACGAAGAAGAGGAGCACCTCGAAGATTGATCATGTAGTAGATGTAGCACTGGAACGATTTCTGATTGATTACTGATCCCATGAAGTTTGTCCAAAAGCTATGAACTGTTAGATGACAGAAAATAGCCCTCTTTTGCTGAAACTTCCTACTCACTGAAGAGTAATAACTACTTAATTGCTGAAATTGTTCTCAGAGAACATTAATGACACCTCCATAGGGTCCCCATCTGGGCACAGCCAGAGTCTTCTGCTCCTAACCTCTTATAGGACTTCGTTCTAGCCTATAGGGTCTACAGATTCAGCTTTGATCGCGCTGGGCTATACCTCTCAATCATTTCAGTTTTCATTAAATCACCTTGAAAATAATTCTGAAGGCTGATCATATTAAGCCTCGATGGAACCTCACAGGAAGACTCTATAAAACATTTGCTTTTTTGCTTAGAATCGAAGAAAGCATCAAGTTATGGGTCCCTCATTGAGAAGGAACCGTTTTCAGAAAGTTCCCAGACGGCCCCCCATCAAGCAGTCAGAGGCAGTCTATTTCCAATGAGTTCAGTAAATGAGTGCTCGGAATCTACAAGAGAACGTCTTATTCACGTCCAATTTCTGGAAAATACCTTCTGGATAATGATGTGCCTGACGTGGGGATACCCTTGTTGGTCCTTCACCTATTCGAACTGACTTAATCACAACCGAGTCGCTACCAGTGCAAAGGGAACCAATTTTCTGGCCGTTTTTTCAAAGTTAACAGGAGGGTTTCGCTTTTTTTGACAATACCACTGTATGAATCATAATAGAGTGGCACGCTGTAGTGAAAACTAATTTTCAAATTTGATATCGCACTTGTTCCATTCATTCCGTTTAAAAACGCAATAGCACTTGTATGGGATCTGTTTCATATGATTGATATTCATGAATGAAATGAATACACAATTTTTTACAGAGCCGAGCGAGCACTTTTGCCAACACATCAACCATTTCCGTAATGACGATATGCTTATTCGGGCCATACCAGGATGTTTCTCTCAGGCTACTCGTGTAACTTTGAGGAATTGATACAGATACACTGCGATCCCTTCGAGGGCCATTTACTCGGTCAATCGGAAGGTATTTTCCGAAAATTTCGACTTAGTCTTGGTTTCTTCGAGTGTACTGGGAGTTTCCATGGAATTGCCATCTGAGGGCAGTACACATGTGTATGCCCATAACATATACTATGTCTTCCTTCTCCTTGCTTATGTTGGTCGAAGTGGTGCCCTCCTCTGCTCCCCTTCCCCACACCCTTCTCCTCCCCTCCCCATATTCGAAATTCGATGCATACTTCCCTTCAAATTCGGCTACTACCCTCATAAACCTTTCAAAACTTGTGTCGTGCATTGTGTCGTGCATTCAGCTCTAGCCTTTGAATCCCTTCGAAGCGGTTTCGTGCTTTAAAGCTGGAAAACAATTGGTCGAGATGAACAAACCGTCGTTGAACTCATGGGATCCCCGAGTCTGTTTTCAAGTAATGGTTTTTTTTCACAGTAATTTCTAATTTCATAGATTTTTTTGAGATGTTTCGGGAAATCAGAAAAAGTCAAGACTTTTGTGAGTTTTTCAGCAAATATTTTCCAACTCAACTAGAAGTGAAAGTGAGGGTAGATTCTCGGCCTGTTACCGACCAAAATTGAACGAATTCGGAATAGCTGGTAAACATACCGATGCGAAGATACAGGAATAGCTGGAAAAGGCGGCGTGCAATGACGGGAATGTGAGCCAAGCATACCGTAACTCATCAGCTCCTCGGAAATTACATGCAAGATGAGGCGATGGTGATGGTGAATGCTCCAGCGGAGCTGTGCAAGCACTGAATTGAGCATTTGAGTCAGTTGACCACCGTGAACGGTATAATGAGTACGAGTACAGAGCACAGATTACCTGATAGATACGTTGCACAGGGAAAGAAAATACGGTCGCTGATAGCCGGTCATCAATTTGAT